AATAAGTGTATATGTATATATATATATATAATATGTATACGTAAAAGTAATTGTCGGAAGGGTCTTACCCTGGAGGACGAGGGGGCACTTCCGGCACTCCCAATGGCCCAGCTCTTGGCAGGGCCATCGCTAACCACAGCCTCACCTAGTTAGGACATTGTAACAGTAGGCGTTACCACCAGTCTTTCATTAGAAATAATGCGTTTTCTTACAAGAAGCGGATGGATTCGTGCTCATGTGTCGGGCACACCTTTTCAATCCTGTACATATATGTAGTAGACACACACACATAGCTATATTGTTCTCGCGCACGCGAGAGATACGTGCTAATAAAAACGAGCGGTTTTGTTCGGCTTTTTAAACGGTAAAAGGACACCCCGGCGGCGTTCGCGGAAACAGGGAGAATGAATGATTTTTTTCTTTCTTTTTTTCTTTCGAATAGTCGCGATGGGGACCATTGTGCCGTCTTCAAGCCGAATTACGAATTCGTGAAAAGCCATAGAGCGATTTCAAGCAGTCGATAGATTCACGGCGTCGATTGTATTACTTGAGAGAGACAATGGCGATAGAAAAAAAGCAACAGGGTTAGCGTTCTGTCGTAATATTTCTGGTCTCCGGCGTGGTACTGTGCGGTGCTCAGGAGTTTGCCCGCGGGGCGGCACACGGGCAGCCAAGGGCAATTCGCTCGCCCCTCGAGCATCTTTTGCTCAGCGGTGTTCGCGATCCGATTTGTCGATTTTATCGCGTTCGACTGATAATGACAATACTTGTGCCCTATTTCTAAGGTTGTTCTATGAGGATACGACCCAACTGGACCCGTATTCCTTCCAGGGGCAAACTCCTGAGCTCTATACACAGTACTTTCGTACTGTTCGCGATTAGCTTTGCCATTTTTTTTTTTCTTTTTAAATCTATGCCATGTTATTTTCGTTCATTTCTGTTTCGCGAATTTTGTACACACGGTGATGAAAAAAAAAAACAATGTCATTTTTGAGTTCTTTCAGTTGAAACGGTTTGGATTTGAGAAGGAAGAGAATTAGCAAGACTTGTACAGAAATGGTAAAAATCGATGATAACAATCAGGTAACAATGGTAATAATGGTAGGAATAATAACAATTGACAAAACATTACATCTATGCCCGAATATAATACTCTCGGCGAAAAAGCAGTTCTATTGATATTGTTTACTGCTGAATCATTATTTATCACCAGCCCTTCCAACGGGTGACTTTATTTGTACAATTTTCCTGGTACTTTTTCTTCAATAATAAGTATATATATTTATATATGTAGAGACGACACAAGGAATATATAATATTCGACCGCGAAGTTACAGAATTTTCGAAAATACAGCGGGAACGTGATATTCTTCGGTGAAAATTTGAACAATGCGTGCAAAAATAAAGTCAAACTTTCTTACAAATATCTGTAGGATTCCTGTAATACCTTTTCACAGCTCCCAGCATTTTTTCTCATACGCGTTATTTACAACGTGCATAGATCACGCGAAGGATACAAGAATGCTATGCAGTGGAACGTGAAATTTAAGTGGTCTAAAAAGTCAACAATTTCAAAAATCGCCCCAGTGTGTAGATTTGAATCGAGCCAAATGAAATAATTGAAACTGATCACGTGTACGCCCAATTGAGAACGGTTGAAAAATTTCTGAAGAGAAAGAACTTTCAGTTAATTTCTTTCCCCCGCCCCCTTTTTTTTAATGAAATCCCTTCTTTTTCCGAAAAAAGAAATTAGCTTTACCGTTTCACATTTAATCCCTTTTTCGTCCCTTTTTACAAAGCTGTTTTTTCATTACCTTCTGGACTAACACGCGACTTTTATAAGGACAACGGAATCTCCTTTTCTCAATGGACGTACCTGCAGAAGACATTTCAAACGTCAGACCGAGTGCTTCGAAATCCTCCTGAGATACTTGACCAGAAAGGTTGTTCTGAATGTTGTTGGGTACCCTTTGCTGTTGCTGTTGCTGTTGCTGCGTTCGTGCGCCAACGATCGCTCTTATTTCTTGCCTCACGAACTCCGAGGTGCTGCTAGCATTTCCTGTGACACAACGAAACCAATTCGTTAGCTCTTTCTTTTTCTCTAATACACATCGAAATCATATACGATCTTCGTATTTTTTTCCCTTGATTTTCCTTCTTTCTTTTTTCCTAATAACTCAACAATATCTCTAGTATCTCGTAGATCGTGTCTTATTATGCAAGCCATAAACGTAAAAGTTAGTCAAAGGTATAGGATGTATGCTTTATTACAAAATGCGGTATTTACAATATTGCATTGACATAAGTTCGAGAAAAGACTTATCCTGTTAAAACGAAACGATGTCTTGGCCTATCCGCTCGTTGGATATTTTACCATGATTGTTCAACAAGCACGATGAAAATTCTTGGTGAAGAAACAGAGTTAAAGAAAAAAAGGAAAAAAAAATAGAAAAAAATTGATAAATAAAGAATGTGAAAAGAAGCTTTCGTTCGCTAGAGGAGCACCGTGTTTAAGCTTTGATTTCCTTTCTTCTCTTCTATCACGTAATAATAATAATATATATAAGGCAGAGTTCCGACAGACATTTAATATGTAGGCTGTGTGCTCGACGATGCTTAATAACACTGCGTTTAGTGACAATGATTAATCACAAAAGCTCGATGCATTGTACATGAAGACTGCGGACGTTGGTTAGTAATATTTTCTTGGTCTCGTTATCTCAAAAATACGAACGGTTCTGAAAACTCGTAGACTCACACTGCGACCTATTTTCTTTATTACACAATAAGGATGAACACGTTGAGCGGAAATTGGAGAATGATTAAAGTGACTGAGTATTTTCGTTTTCTTCGGTACTTCATTTTTCGTCTAACTTAATATACTGTAAACGTGACTAGGTTTCTCACCGACGGTATCGATATTTTATAACAATTCTGTTGACAATTTGTTGTAAGTGGCGATTAGCTTAAAAAATTCATCTTCTTGATTTTCACTTCTTGTTATTTTGTACACCTTGAAAGTTGTGCGTTTTTTTCTTTTTTTTTTTTGGGGGAAAAGAGAAGCTATAAAATTGACAAGGCGTTATAATTCTATGCACACTCGTAGAAATTACAATCTGTAATGTTAAATTATTTCACAATTCGATATCTGTAAAGATTAGTTAATGTTGATGGGAATTGCAGAGAGAAACTAAAAAGTTGTGTATTCAAATTATAGGAAAACAATTACTTGTCTGCATTGATCATGCTCCAATTAATGAAGTAACGCAAATTGTAATGCATTAATGTAAACATAAATGTAAAAATAATTCGTACGCATGAAAAAAAGTCCGTGATTCAGTCGAAGATTGATGAAGAGCGTAAAAAAAGGGGGGGGGGCGAAACGGTGTGATATAACAAGCATACAAAAGTTAAACATAAACAATTGAAAATAATGAGTAATGAATACCTGAAGCCAACATAAATTATACCAAGTTGTGCAGAATTTTGCTTTACTTAAACATAACTTCATAACAATGCATAATTTTATTCAAAAGTAGAAACATAATTTTATGAAAATACTTTTGCAATCTGAATTAATAAAATTGAAGAATAATATGACGGTTCACATTTGATAAAAAAAATACTTTCAGCGTGTTGATAAGAAGTACTCTTTCAACGCTAAATCAATTGATAAAAAAAAAAATAATAATAAGAGAAAACAAAAGAAAAAAGAATTATTTTATATTTTAATCTCTACAAATGACATAACTGTGATTCAGCGATAAGAACAGTGTAAGCAGTTCGCTTTTACACGTTATCATTGTTATATTTCAAATTCAGTTGTACAAGAGATTCAATCTTATGATATGGAGGTAGCAATACGTACATATTAGTTATAACACAAACTTCATATGTATATATGTGGTGCAAGTGACAGTGACGCTAATTTACGTGTCCGAAAGTGCCGGAGATAGTCACTAAACAGTGCGAATACGTTCTGAACCGGAAATGGGCAAATCAGCATTGAAAACACAATTTGCAATAATTTCTTCGTTAGCAGCAAAGCATCATTCTAAGGCAATTTTAAAGATCATTTTCTCTCCAAATTTTACTTCCAATATAAAAGAACATTTTATTATCCAGAAATCCTAGTAAGATTTATTTAACAAAAATTAATTGTGGCATCAGTAACTTATTTATAATTTCAAACTGTAAAATGCAAAACCTATTCATACAACAATTTACAAAGAAAAATGTTCGCAGTTTAAGTTGCTACATGTAATGTTGAGTAAACTGAAATTATAATTGAAAACTGATTTTTATTACTAACTACTGTTTTACTGCCACTTACGTTTCTATTATTTACTTTTTATAATTGTAATTCTTTTGAATTATATTTACAATAACATGATCAATGTTTGAATATAACTTGTAGACAGTTTGCTCGCTACCGTTTCCGGTTCACCTTAAACAGTACGGTGATCTTAACGCATACGAGTCACAAAAAAGGTATCTAAACAGATATGATACAAAGGACAGTCTTTCCTACGTGACTTATCTACTACGTCATTACATCGGTGTCTACAATCACCATAGGAAAGTGTAATCTCTATATCGCTAAAAAAGAAGTAGAGTGCACAATCGAACATCATGTTTGTATCACTGGAATTAATGTGAGAAGAGGTGTGTCTTGTAAATGGGGGATGAATTTGTACTATGTTACAACACGATTTTTGTCAAAACGCAGATGAATATCAATTTCTCCCAGAGACACGAGGTGTATTATTACATCTTTACAAAAAAATGTATGAATTTGATTGAGTCAGTGAATGGAACATTTAAACGAGATCCTTGACACGGATAGGTTTATATTATACCATGAGGAATGACGTGTGGATTGTTATTCACGAAATGAAAGGACGTCTGGTGATAACATGAAATCGTTGAATCGTTAGTTTACAATTAATGCCAGCTGTTTCCTCGTTTCGTTTATCCGAATACGTCACACGCGCGCATACTTAAGGACATTTCTCTTCTTCTACAGTGCTGCGTAAAATATACATAAATATAAAAGTAACAATAAACATTGTTATTCTACAAGGTCGAAATATAAACTTCCAAAATGCAAACTTTCAAGATAATTAATATGTACATTTAATATCAGTATATGTGTAGTTGTATACAATTACATAAAAAATATCTCAGAGATTGAACAGTCCAAAGTTGTTTCTCAAAAGTAACGTATTCTCATAACTCTTAAACGAAGCCGAAGGAACAAGAAAACAAGGGTCAGCGTTCTTTGATTTGCAATTTTATGCTAGAAAATGAGCGAAGAATACATTCCACGGGGTATGGTTACGATGGTAGCCGGTTTTCAAACTATAAACAAAAGCACCATGCAACATTTAGCGCTATTTCGGCAGAGTACTATGCTCTGCATTGACTTCTCTCGTTATACGTATGAAGAAATGACGATCTAAGAAGAGAGATATGCATGAGCGAGTTGTGATAATGGTACTCTGTTTCGCTGATCTGCGAGCTACAAAGGATGCATGAGAAAATGAGAAGCTCGAAATGGAGCGAAATGTAAGAGAGTAAACGAGATCGCAAAAAAACAAAAATCTATAATATGCTTCTTCGAATTTCGTGGAACAAAACGAGACAGTGGTTTCAAGCATGATTCTATCGTATCGATTGCATCTAGATAAGCAAGAACGTGATGTATATCCTTGATGAGGAGAGACAGTAATGACGGCGATGATACACACAGGAATGAGAAACGACATCGAATTGGATGTGAAGTGGTCCGAATGACATTAATCGAATCGTAAGAGACTCTGTGTCACTTCCCATATGAAACATAAAAGAGGAGATTTACAGGGCGTATGTAGTGATAGGGAGGGTACACAGAACGCATGAAAAACGCTGCAGCCCAGACGATCATCGTATTTACATTTGCTTAGGTAGATATACATCGATGGAGTGGATTGGTGATAATATAGAATGATGTGCTTTTCCATGTACCAAAACAAACAGAATGTCTCATGCCGTTGCAGTTGATCTCGTGATACGAGGTATTTAGATACAAAGGGCGTATATACGGAGGGGGGGTGTGATGATGACGAAGTGATGGTCACATGACATTAAGTGGTCACATGACTTACCACCCAATTGGTGATTGACAGGATTACCGGGAGGCAGAGGCCTGGCGTCCTGCGTGTCCCCAGGCCCTGACGAATAGAGTGGAACAGACGTCCGATCGTAACAGAACTGATTGTTCTGCATGTCAGCTGTGTTGATAGTATTGGCGGTCGTGTGGTATATCATAGAAGAATGTTGTTGGTTGGAGAAGTGTTGTTGGGTATTCGTTACGTTGTGTTGATTGTGAGTAGGTGTTGCCGGGTTGCAACCAGAATGTGGATGACTAGGTGAAAGAAGAGGTTGTTCCTTACTCACTCCACCGTAGTGCCGGGGCGAACCTACCCCACCTGCAACATCAAGCGTGTCTATCTTCTTGTTCCTCGCATCTCTTAACAAAAACGTTTATAACACGCTTCTAGCCGGCCTTCCTCCATGCTCCGATACCGCTCGACAAGAGTCACACTGGTCATCACATTAAAACTAACACACGCTTTCGAGATTAGAATACACCTAGTGTATGCGGCACAGCCTTTTAACAAATTAACAATGTTTTTTTTTGGTTTTGTTCTAAATTGCGTATTAAATTGTCGAATGCGTGTCATAGCGAATGATTTTAAAACTGTTGCCATTGCTTGCTTTAATTTGAATTACTTTTGTCTTAATAACGAAACATTACAAAATATCACTGTTCAGTAACAATAGATCGTTGTTGATTCTAACAGAAAACAAATGCGATGAGGTATAAATTTGCTTACAATAGTACTTTAGTCCAAATTGAAAAATTGCTCGCGGAAGAAATTAAATATTGCTGTGATGATACTAATTGTAGATCTCGCAATTTTAGTTTTAAAATAGCATTATATTTATCAACCTCCTAATGAAAAATAATGCTAAAACAATATACACATATCATTTGTTTTTAAGCCTGTAATAGAAAAGTTGATCCAAATAGATGTCAAGTCACAAAGAAAAATGCTGACATAAAATAAACTAACCATATCTAAACGCACATCTATCTAATCTAAATGTAGTTTTGCCGTATTTGAATATTTCATACAATAGGGAAACACATACTTGAATCGGTTGCATACTTACCTACTTCGACAAAAAGAAATATTTATTTAATTCACACCTCCCGCTTCATATGCGCATTACATACTTTTATTTGTATAAATGCTTACGATTAACCGCACCGGTAATAATAATGCAAATATCTTTAATGACACCAGCATAACCGAACGAAATTATAGCGCGACCGCCGTCTTTAAATTACTTGAACCCTTTGCACAGAATACAAAGTAAATTGAAAATTCATACTTGTACAAAAAATCTCAACGCACACGTTGAAAATCATTTAAGAATTTTCCTAAGGATTTAATTCACAAATATTAATTGGTACACATCACCGCTTATATTAAAAAAAAAAAGAAAAAGAAACTATCACAATGTATATTCGACATAAATGATCATTAATATGCAATAATACCGACAATAAAGAATTTAAAACACAATGTCAACCTACCTGGCAACTGAGTCGTAGCCGAAGGTGTAGATGTGGTCCGCTGCAACCGGTATTGGGCTGAAGGATTTGGAGCACCAGGATTAGGACCAGGTGGAAATTGGCTAGCTGTAGGGGACGTAGGTGGGGGAAAGGTTTCCGCCGGAAATGGAGACTGCCGGGCGGACGCTGGTGTCCCTGGCGACGACATCGATCTTTGTTGTTGTTGTTGCAACTGCTGCTGCGCGGTCGGTTGTTGTTGCGATCTCACCTGGTTAACGTTGAATAATCTCGGGGTGTTACCATAGTTGCCCTTAATAACAAACACGTAAAGGAAAAAATTCAAGATTCACATTGTCAAGTTGTAAACAGAATCGTAAACTATGGAAACGTGATTGATAAGTCGAAGCAACAAAAAGTATTCTAAGAAGCTACGCATGCACCCCTTCTAATGAAATAAAAATAAAATTTAAAAATAAAAATGAAACTACGCTACAGGCATTTAGGACACCTCATCTAATTAGACGACTCTTAAAACGTACTTGCGTCACTCGTGGTGACAACGGCTGTGGATGTGGGAATGGCAAAATACCAGCGGGAGAATGCGGCGAGAGCCGCGCCGCGGCGGACACTTGTTGACCACTGTTAAAATTATTGTTTACAATGGGGCTAGAAATAAAGACGAATGTTAGACAAATATCACATAAAACTATTTGCATTACGTCTGCCAAGTTTGCTTACTGTTGTGGTAACGTTGAAGGATGAGAGTACGAGTGAGCAAGTCGGTGACCGGAAGGCATCTGGACGGATCCCCCATAACCTGGAGATACTTGTGAATCTGGGACACTCGACCGCTGAAAATAAAAATTGATTTTTCTAATAATATCGCACGGAAGTTTCCAATTTTCTTTAGCGTTTCATACAATAGTTGAACATAATTGTACAAGTACCTGTAACGATACATTTGGCGCAACAGTATTGTTCAGAAGGTTATCGATATTATGAATGCCTGTGGTAATTTGGTCCGTAGCTGTAGCATTGGAAGGAATGAGTAACTGCTGCTGCTGCTGTTGTTGCAGCAGCCTCTGCTTCAACTGTTGCTGTTGCTGTTGTTGTTGTTGTAACAATTTCGTCCGCTGCTGTTGCAACTGTAACTGTTGCTGTTGCGTAAATTGAGCGGTCGTCTGCCTGACGCCTTGTTGCGTGTTAAACCTCATCCTTGGCTGTTGCTGGTACATCGGCGGTGGCTGGTAACTATGGCTCGTCGTTACAGGTGTGGTACTCAACTAAAATTATATCGTTTATAAATTCTAATTACAGCGAATGTGTAACACACGGTTAATAAATATACGCGACAAATAACAGATGTAGAGCTACCAAAACGTTTCATGGTAAACAAAAAAAGAAGTATATACACATATACATGTATGTAGACGTACATTATGATTATTGCGGATATATTATAAAAGTATGCAAGGAGAAGGGTATCAACTTACTGCGGTGGAGTAAGCTGGAGGCGTGCCAGGAATTGTTATGGTGGAAGACGTTGGATTTACGGCAGTCTCGCATAACATCAACGACTTCTGTATCGCGTTAATCGCCATCCTCTCGTTCAACGCGTTGTTTTGCGGCGCTTCGATCACATCTAGGAGATTTGCTATTGCAGACGAATCTATTGAATAAAAATTATTGTCTATAATGGTAATTACTTTCGCTGTCACGCGTAACGGTGTTGCACAAATACTCCTCGTGAGTGTGTTAGCTTACTGCTGTTTGCAAATATGTTGGAGCAAAGCGTTGTTGAAGAAAGCAAGGTCACAAGGTTTGTAATTATGCCGTCACAGCGAAAGTACAGAGTTATATATACATATATTTCCAAATACGCGAGTAAAATGGAGCAAATGACGTGTATACATGATATACCAGTTCGTGCGTTAAGTGGTAATAACAATAAATTGTGTACCTGTAATCGCTTCATCCGGTACGAACTCGATAACTTGATCTAAAATATCGGAAAGATCAGGGTCTGATGACTGGTTATCCCATGTACCGGGATCGGTGCTCGTTTGACGATACTCCCCACTGGCCGTAAATTCCGAATCTATCTGACCCATTTGAGGTCTTTGTTGCTGCAAACACGTGACATATCTCATTGAAATTATGTATTTAATTTCTTCGTTGCTTTATTCTTTATTAAATACTTTCATTTATACAGGTTTCTTAAATGTTACTTTAATGCGAATCTAGAGAAATATAAACTAAGATAGTCTATATTTTCTTAACATAGTAATTAGGTTCTTCAACAATTTCTGTATTACCTGACTTAGCATATGACTGAGGTAGGTATTGGTTGTTTGACGAGGTAGTTGTCTCGACTGGCTTTGGAGAGGAGTACGCGCGGAAGTTGCAGTTGTCGTAATTGTATTGTTGCCACCAACCGACTGCATGCTACCACCTGTCCAAGGTTGTTGCTGCTGCTGTTGCTGCTGCTGCTGTTGCTGCTGCTGCTGTTGTTGTTGCTGCTGCTGTTGCTGTGATTGTGACTGGGACTGGGACTGCGATTGTGTCTGTTGTGACGGCTGTTGCGGTGGTTTCAACCCTATGCGAAGCAGCTTATCCTATACAACAAAGAAAACATTCGTCAGACCAATATTAATATTCAAAATTTGGAGAATTTAGATGGTTAAATATGTGTTCTATTAGTTGAAATCATTCACATGGTTGACATGCATTTTCCCTCTGAATTTCACAATTGGAATAACATACAATTTGTCTAGATAACAATTTACTCCTATTCGATGATTTTAACTCTCAAGTTATTACTCGCTAAATCTCGTAATTGAAATGATCACCACTTGTAATTCAAAAGAAATTTGAAATTTGTATATTTCACTTGCAAAACAATTGCCCTATCAATCAAACCATGTCCTCGTGAAAGGGAAGTATATTCATAGCTAGCAGAGTTCAGAAGCAGCTAAACTACCTGTGGTGTTGCCGATATCACAGACGCAGGTATTGGTGGGATAGTGGTAGGCTGAGGAGGCTGCTTAGCCAACAGTGAAGCCAGCATTTTATTCTTTTCCCAGAGCTTGCTGGTCGCGTTGCTGGACGTGCCGGAAGAGGACACTTGATGCGATCCATCCATAGGTCGCTTCACAGCTATGTTCAAGTCACCATCCTCGCCGGGTCTCTTCTGACCGACCTGAGTCGAACCGAGTCCAACGTTGTCGCCTGATTGAGACGGGGATGGTGTGGTGTTCCGAAATCCAAGACTTCGCAGCAGAGGATCCTCTTCTCGAGTTTGTGACTTACACTGTTCAAATTGTACCCACTTAATCAACTTTGCATGACATCGTGACATAAAATGAAACAAGGTATATTTTCCTTGACTGATCAAAATTTGTTCGATTACTTTCTCACGGTTAGGAGGAATTCTAACTCGAGTAATCTTGTACGCAAATCTACGTGATACTAAATTATATGTATCAAGACAAGGTAAACTTATGGACTACCAACCTGCTGCTCTTGCACTTTCCTCTCGTCGTCTTGGTCTTTCAGAAGCTGTTGCAGAAGTTCGTTTCTCTTCTTCAAACCGGCGCGAGCCTCTTCGTCCTCATCGTCATTTTTCTCGTTCAACAACTTCAAGAGAACACGAGTTACAGGTTAATGCAAAGTTATGAACACCACGCTTCTGCTTCTAATTAACACGCGAGAAGATAATGCGATCAGCCAATAATTCTTTTCCTTTTCTAACAGCTTAAGATAACTGTCTATTAACATTAGAAAAAAGATTGAAAAAAGAGACGGAAAGATCACAGGTGAAGAGTATACTCGCTGATCACATCGACTAAAAGGAAAAGGTAAGAAAACACAGAAAACGAAAATGAAAAAAAAAAATGAAAAAAAAAATAGATAACGCGAAGCAGGTTGAAATCGCTGAAAGCGATATACGGGCACCGGTCCGACGCCACGTGGAAATCGATGTCAATGATCAACTTGTTTACCTGTAGCAGCATATTATTTCCAAGCGAAGATTTCGAATGCTCCATGCTCGGTTTCGGCATGTTGCTAGGACTCGTGCGCACTTTATTATTATGCTCGGGATGAAAATCGTCCTCGTCTTGCTGATTTAACAAGATCTTTAATATCCTATGCTTATTTTGGCTCTCGGAATCATTATTCGAATTGTCCTGACTTTCTTCACTTACACTAGCCCCCTTGGTCAACAAGTTTCTCAGTCTACCGGACTCGGTGGACACAACACTGTTCTGAGTTTCGACAACGGTCGCCACAGCGCCTGTCTGCTGGCCACTCGCGGCTCCTCCCGCCGAACCAGCTACCGATGTCACGTTGTTTCTCGCGTTGCTAGATTCCATGGTGGATTGGTTGGTGGTAGAGCACCCGGTCTTCCCTTCATCCTGTCTTTTGGGTGTCAATCCGGCGGCTCCGTTGGCACTAACACTACTAGCAGCGCTGTTCGTCAAGGAGGACGTCTGTGATTCCTGAAGCGGACTGAAGGGGAACGAATTACTGAAGGTGTGAGCTGCGTTGCCTGAGGTCGGGCTGAACGCGCGTAGGGGACTGCAATGAGGCGCCACTGCCGAATTAGAGGAGAACGTTCCCTGGGGACTCGGAGATGTCGGGGCTGGCTGGGAAGGTGGTCGTGAATTTGGTGGCCCGCTCGCTCTCGATTCGGGCCTATCTGCCCACCCGCTGCTACTATCCAAGTCCCATGTGGAACTGGGGAAGAGCTCGAATTCCAAGTCCATGTTCCCCGAAAAGTGGTTGAACGGATTACTGGTACTTAGCGACGGCAGGGGGTTGCAAGACTCGGCCGCGCTAAACACTATCGAGTTTGAGGACGATGTCGCGGTGGTACAGGAGTGCGACGACGTGCCCGCCAACCCCCGACCACTGATACCACTCACTTGACCGTTCAGATGCGCCACGGACATCAGCGGGCCACCCACGTTATTGTTATTGTTACCATTATTATTATTACTATTATTCGCACAACGGTTACTAGAGTGTCCAGAGCACACTTTGTTGTTGGAAAGCTGACCACCCTCGATAGGCGTTAAGTCATTGTCCCTATCATGGACAAGAAACAAAACAACACATATATTTGCCAGTTACCATTTTAAAAACACTTTATTTTTTGTCTTCTTTAGTCTAACACTAAGCATTACTATGTACTATGTAATATAGTTTTTGCGTTGCACGCGGTGAACAGTGCTCGGCCACCTAATATCTCTCTCTCTCTCTCTCTCTCGCTCTTTCTCTCATCTCTCTTTCATCTTCTACCCCGTTTAAAAAGCTCTCGAGATAATGCTACACCGTGTAGAAATTGGATTCGAATCGAACGTATCTAACACACGCGTGTTCTCTTTGTTTGTTTTTTTTTATATTTTTGTCAACGAGGAAATCGATTGGTAAGATTATCATTGTAAAAGCCAAACGGAAAACGTCGTTGAACTGAGGAGAAGGGTTCGAATTTAACGTTCTTCGTGTCTCGCGCACTGTTTACCGAAATCCCTTGAGCATCAATCGAGCCACCTTGATGTAAGTTGCATAAGCGTATGTAAGACTTGCCGGTATCCTACCATGATCACCGTAAATCTTACTTTCGCTAAGTACTTACAGCTTGAATGTTACACGAGGCCCGATAACGTGAATACCTTGAGGTGAGCGCAAAACGGTTTAGCAACCTCAACAATGTTTCCCGTTGAAGCTACTCTTGAGAATAACACGGACAGTAGGCAAGAAAGTGGTAATGAATTTGAAATATTTGTTTCTTTCTAATTTCATACTCTCACCGAATATTTTATAACCGAAAAACCAATCTTCTTTTCTTGTATATTTCTCTAACGATAAAATACTAAGGAGGACCTCCACGAGTGGAAAAGTTGATATGTAATCAATAACGATCGTGTTTTGATCACCTTTCGCTCCATACACACGCGGTTAAACGCCGTGAAATTCGTAAATCGAGAATGAAAATGGCAAGGATCGCTTAATAAAGAAGTTGCTCAGACTCTGAGCAACAGCTGCAGCAATTAAGTGCTACACACCTCCTTCGGCCGCAACCTTTGCCATTCCCCCGCTATATTTTGATGACAATGTATGGAAAGTGTGATTGTGTGGACACAAATACTACGGAAAGAATTGTGTGGTGAGATAACGATTAAGGCCAGCGTGTGAGATACATAGTAATTATTAGCAGACGAAGTGTTAAAAAAGCGATACATAAAAGCGACAAACGAGAGACTGTAATTTGTAAAACGTCGAAGTACGGGGGAAGAATTGTTTCAATTTCAAGAGTGGCCAGATCTCCAACACCGAGAGGAAAGTCCGCGCGTGTCGCGGAACATGCAAGATTTTCTAGAAACCTATATATGTAAAAAATAATAAAAAAAACTAGTCCATCGCGAAAGAGACTTGTAAGTATCGTTTGGAAAAGTTCGAATTAGCTTGTTCAAATCGCTTTTCCTTTCTTTGGAACTAAGAGATCAGTCAGATTCGTCAGATTTGCTTGAATTTCTTCTTTTTGCTTTTTCGTTCTGTTCCGTTGTTTTTAGTTAGCTCGAGAATGTTATTGAAGCAATAGTGATAAAATAAACACGGAGAAATGAAGTAAAACAGAATATATTAGAACCTAATGCAGAGGGAAGTTCGTAGGTAGAATATGTCGTGTAGATATAGTCACCCTTGCCTGTGTGTTCCAATAGAAGAGTAACTAAGCGATACGAAGGAGTAGTACGTTAACTTAATTACCCAGGAGAACGTCGATTATTAAAGAGCTTCGTCGGCTCTAATTATAAGTCTATTAAACAAACGATTGAATAGTAGAAAGCACACAGATCCAGTTATCATCAACTATATTTCGTTGGTTCAAGTGGTAAATTATCGACGATCCGATAACATTATCAATAATCGAGATTCTACTGGTTCATTCTTCGTATCTTCTCGTAATCCTAATGTTAATAGTTCTAATAACTATTCCAAATCAACATCAACACACTGAATACCATAGCACTTGTAAATTACCACATAATAAAATATAGAAATCTTTTTTTGAAAGTTGATTAAAAAAAAATCTGTGTAAACTTTAAGTTTACTTTAAGTATACTTTGGTAGTCAAGGTATTAACGTAATCAACCTCTGATTAATTGTCGTTTGAAATTTTCTCACAAGATAACAAATTAGCGAAGATTCGTATTCAATGAGAAATATTCGAGTGAAGAACCGTTTGACTGTTTTACAAGGAGTATGAATATTTATAGAAATAATGATTAATCTGAGATTGAACGAATCTTGAAGATTGTACATTTATTATCAGAATGTCTGAAATTAAACGATATAAAAAGGAAAGTAAAACCTTTCAACTTACCCAATGATGGTATTGGTGGCCATAATGAAGTCGGTAACGAGTGTATTCATCACATTTGCTTTAAAAAGCTTTGACTTTGTTTGAATGTTAAGGAACTTATCAGGACTAACGCGTAGCCGGTATACACCGCTGGTACTCTCACCGACTTGAAGCGTATCGTTCAAATGTGTAGTTAGCTTAGTGAGATCATGAGGGTGGCACAAATCTTTTATCGTAGTGCCTATCAGCTCCTGTAACAAAATATCACTAAAAATTAATCACTCTACGAAAATTAATATTTGAACCTAACTATAAACCTTTTAATACAAAAGAATGTTGATGCACATGATTTTTAAGTTTTTTGTTTTACACTTATTTCAGATTAAATTTATCAGGTGTGTATCTTTATATGCAGTATTCGAAATACACAACTGCGAAGCGACACTGAATGTTTACAATTAGTGGATGTGTGCGCTAATTATAATCGAAGATAAATCCAATGGAAAAATATCAATTGAAAATATAATAATAAAAAGAACCGTAGGAAAGTATTTAAAACGGAGGGATTGTAAAGTTTGTAGATAAATGAGTTACGTGAGTCGTCTGCGAACAGTTTGAATATTCATTTTTGAGAAGAAAATCAGTCATGTTAAGGACGTCAGAGTGAAAAGACGTATAAAATAAAAAAAGCTTCTTTTAATTAAGTTCCTTGATTTGTTTGCTACGCCCTACAAACGGAGATCAAATATTATCGAAGTCAGATTCTACAAACAACTAAAATTAACCAATCAGAAAATAATAAAAAAATTAATATAATACCCTACAATGTCTTACCTCTTAAATGAAAAAATGAACAAATAAATAGAACTCGTTGTGTGTTCATACCTTGCTTAGTTCAAATAACTAAAATTAACTAATCACAAAATTTAAAAAATTTTTAATTAAGTACCTTGCAATATCACTTAAATAAAGAAAAAAGAAAAAAAAAGAGAAATGGAAGTCGTGCGTTCATACCTTGCTTAGGTACTCGGAGTAAGGAGGCGATAACCAGATGACATCGACCGCGATAATCTTCCCCGTGGTGTCCAATTTGACAGTGAACTGCTCAATCGGCGGACCAATAGGCTTCTCGTTTGGGGGTATCCTGCGAGCCACACACATTACGGAAGGACCGTTATCCGGGGATTCAGAGGATACGTCACCGCTCTCCAGACGATCGCTATTAGTTGGCAAAAGAGCTGAACAGATTTGCATAGACTCGTATTTCGATACTCGTTGCTGCATCTCTTCCATAGTCGCTTCGCTTTCATTAGGAGGCTTCACCAAGAAGCGGCAATTGAAGGTACGATTCCTTTGGGGCTGTTGCTCGTTCGTCCACCCTAAATTACACATCAATTCTATTATCTCTCGATACTTACAATCAATTCTCTAATTAACTATACGTTTCTTTTCTTCTAAAACAGATAGAAAAGATCCTGCAAACATCCGTCAAACTTGCTGATCAAAAAAGGAACATTCTTTAAAAAAAAAAAAAGAAAAGGACAATTTGAAGTAAGACACGCGATTGATTCTCGGTTGACGATTATTCTTCCGTACACAAAAGTTCGAATTAAAAATAGCTGCTGAAAAGAAAGAAGAAAAAAAAAACATAAATATTCAACGAAGTGCAAAATTTCACGCGCGTCCTGGCAACTACATATAGGTAAAAAAGCCACGGGCTGTCGAAGTGCAACGCGCTTCGCCGATGGCATCGTATTTCTGCTTGCGTTCAAGAATTTCAAAGCTGTCTCCTTCCATTACACCAAGATAAATCTTTCCGTTGCACCGCTACCGAAGTTCCATAACAAAGCGAGATAGTACACGTGCACGCCGCCCAGTAAATAGATGCTAAAGTTACATTATCATAACTACCCCCGACGCATACGAAACGCACTCATAAATAATCGTTTTATCGTATGCTCGCGAGGACGAAAGACGTTCCACTTCAAAGGAGATTTAATCTCCATATATCTTCCATGTCTTGAGAAGAGAGAGAGAGAGAAGAAAATATATGGGGAAGGGGGAGTTGAAGGAGGCAAAGAGAAAAAAAGATTTTGTATTAGGAACACATATATATATGTATATATGTACGAACCTAATGGTATAGGCAACAAGTTCGGCATGAAGGTGTTGTGGTCTCCATGATGAATAATATTATAAATATCCTTGCCGAGCACATCCGTCGGCGTGTAACTTATGTACTGTGTTATGTTGTCTGATACGTGGTTCACTCTACCCTCCGTGTTTACAACAAATAGAAAGCCATCTAACGCCTGGATGGGAAAAAAATTTCGAGACATGTTAGAGAGAGTTCTTCTTCTTCTTCTTCTGAAGTTGATCAAGTTCGATAGCGGTTTAGCAAGAAATTTAAAATTGGTGAGATAACGGATTTTATGTAAAGCAATGGTGATTTAATTGGCTATTAGATTGTATCTTATTTTGCTGTCCTTATGAAAACCGATATCAAACAGCTTTAGGCAATAATTGAAGGGGACTTATCGTATTTCACATTTAGTCGTTTTCTGTACTGTCACATAAATTATACTTCCGTCGAGATCCTTTTCTAGAATTGTATTATTTACAACTTCTTCGAGTTAAACAGTAATAATAATCAGACGAATTAATTGTTAATTTTCAAGCTGGTTGTAAATGTTGAAAATATTGTACATAAGAGAAACATTGAAATTATTCTCTTTTGTTAACCCTTCCACTGCTACTGCCGCCTATATTTTTTTTTAATTTTCTCGCACTGTGCTGTTGGTCGACTTTTGGTACACTTTCGCCTTAATTCAATCCTTAAATTTTGCTTAAAATTCGATCCCTCGAGTACTCTCACTTTAATTTAATAATTGAAATTTAAAAATGATAAATTTAGAATTTTAAAAAATTTTTAAAAAACGACAAATTTTTGCCGATAATCTGCCGTAGCGAAAGAGTTCGAGAAATATCGTATATTTGTACAGATTTTGTCTGAATTTTGTTGAATTTTAATAAAGTAGTATAACACCCGTTAGTAAACTAAACTCGAAATGAGTACCCACCCGCGAGCCGACAATAAATAGAAACAAGAACGGACTACATATATAAATGCTACAAGCGTATATCAATGAACGAAAGCAACAAGAATAGAATAAATTGATGGGGATCGATTTAAATCGAGTTGTACCTCAAGCAACATAGGACCAACTTGGTCGTTGGATAGTATGTTAGGATTCGATGAAGACACTTCTCCCTGTTGTACGGCATGACTATTCGAGCTTTCCTGTTGCCTAATGTGCCGAATCTGTAAAAAATAAAGTAAATCGTTAATAATACCTGAATTACAAAATTAACAAACCGCACGAGTATTTGTTTCATAGAACTTTAATTGACCAAAAAAAAAAAAAAAATCACAAATGTTGACGAATATAATACTGTACAGACAAATGTACAACACTTAAATTTAAAATAACAGGAAATATTCAATTATTATAAATGACATTATAGCTACTTCATTATTTGCCTTTTCAAATATTTCAGAAAAAAAATGGAATTTATTTAAAAACAGCTTTAAACGTAAAATATTTAGTAAAGAAGCAATTCAAGTGCTATTTAAATTTTAAAAACAGTTAAAAAATATTTGCTTTTCGTTTTGGTTCTTTCACTTGGATACGTTACATATAAAAAACAAGTTGAAGAAGAAATGATAGGACAAGGTGAAGAAACTGTCCAATTCATTTTAATAAGACAGTAAAGTTTGCTGCGACGTTACAGTTTCGCGTGCCAAGATAACGCAACAGCACAACGCTGATTTCACGTTACGTAGTTTGCATTTCTATGCTGTTCAAATCAAAACTGCATTCTGTTACACGCACCTATCGTAACGCACGATCAAATATTTCATTTTGTCGAACTCTCGTTGAACCTTTGTTTTTACTTCACTTTATAAATCAATCGTAGATGTAAACGTGTTAGAATTACTATGTGAACGCTCGCTGGTGTATATTTAGTGTAAGCGACACAGAGAGGTCGTAAATTAAATTAATATTTAAAATCTTTCGTTTAAGATACACGATATTAACGACTCACTAGTAATTCCTGTATTGGAAAAAAATTAGACTGCAGCTGCCGACGATTAAGAGACGGGCAAATTTTTTTAAATATATTACAACGGAAGAAGCAATTCAGAGTTGACATCGAACAGCTTTGAGCGAGGCTCCGAGCCCCTTATCTCCCTTGAATTGTTGTTTTGACACTCGGATTACGTGCACTGACGCATACTACATGTTACGACCTCGCCATATCGCTTCCACCGACTATACCTTGAACGATGCGTCATCTAATATAAATAAAGGGTGTTTTCAACCTGTAGAATCAAAAAGTAAGAAAAAAGAAAAATTGCCTGATACTTCTATTAAGGTCCCTTACAAACCTGCAAAGCTTAAAAAAAAAAAAAATCGAAAGTTTCAGGGTATATACCCAAATTTCCTTACGAGTTGCGAGACATGTACAGTCGGTGGAAGAAATATAGCGGGCTCAGGAGTGAAAATTTACATGTCCGAGCTTATCGACAGAAACTTGAGAAAATAAGAGCTAGAAATCTCATTCAGGGCTGTCCGTGCCTTAAATCTGATTCAGTCCGTGAAATACCGTATGCGACCTTTAATTAACGACCTCGCTATATTTCTTCTAACGACTATTTCGCTACTATCCAAATGTGGTTATCTCCCGCAAGCAATTCGAGAATCGAACGTGGAAAATGAACAAGACGTTCCACGAATTTGTTCACTACAAGGTAGTGCTGGCCAATAAAATAACGAGACGTTCCCGGTAGTGCTGGCCAATAAAATGTCTAACGAAGGAGTACGAATTGATGGAGTATATACATCATAGAGTGGAAAGCGAACAACTGCAACCTGAGGTATCAGGAACCACACCTACACAGGTTTGCAAGGACGGCGTTGCTTGAGGTGTTTCCAGGACGTCATGCTGCGAGGGTCAGCACCGTCACAAGGGTCAAAGGACACAGGTGACTACTGTGCAATAGGAAACGGAAGGAAGTGCTTCGAGCGCGAAGAGAGAAGACACATTGCGATCAGATGTCCGAAACGCTAAATACGGGAGGATGTATAGCCGGTGGAAGAAATATAGCGAGGTCGTAAATTAAAGCATAAAGTAGCGGCACCGATTGATATAGTAGTAACACGCAGGGTCTCAATGCGGCATTTTACGTTTTCAATTGAGACTAAATCAAAGCTGAAACATATTTCATACGGCCCTTATCTTCTCAGGTTTCTGTTGATTCCATTCGTCGATATACACTGGAACGTGTAAACTTTGACGCCCGACCGATTTTACGACTTCGCTATATTTCTGCCAGTGACTATACACAGTGTGCCGAGAAAGAAACCGAACTTTAATTTTCTTGTCGAAACTAGCAGCGCCATCTCGCATTGGAAGGTTGGTATTTAGCGTGACCCACCGGTGGTGGGTCATCGAGCGATAATTTGCTGACGTGACCCCACCGACTACACGATCATCCATGGTTTTGGAAGGATATGACCGAATGTTTGTTAGGAATGCCTGTAGAATGAAAGAAATAGAACGTGCGCGGTGCGAGGATAAAAGAATGTGAAAGAGGCACGCGCGAGGTAGTTGGTAGTAAAAGTCAGAGTGAAGAATTAAGAATGCAGAGCGAGAGTTTTTGAGAATATAAAGTAATTCAGCTTTGCGAGAGAGTTAGAGTACAGAGACATTGTAATCTTTCTATTATTATGTAATTCTAATATTTCTATTATTATTTAAATACACATCGTTATTGTTTTCAATTTTATTGAATAAACCTGTCTGCAACCTGACATTCCTACAATATCAAGCAGTAGATTAATGCAAATATTTTAATTTGATTGCGTTACGCAGTTTCATTTCTGATTTTTTTATTGATATTATTAATGAGTGAACATTTTCTTAAGTAACTGTTATTTCATTAATCCAGAAATGAACGTGATTTTGAAATATTACGAGAGACTTATTTACTTATTTTCATTGGTATTAATAGAAAAAGATAATTAAATGATATCGTTATTTGAAATTATTGTTATTTCAAACAAACTGATACGTCACATAGTTCCATATATGTAATATTAATAATATGAAGAAAATGTATTTTCCTTTACCTATATTGATGACACATGTAACTAATATAGTGTTAAAGAAATTGCAAAAAACACGGTAAGCCATAATTTTTTATGGAAAAATTTCAACTGCATACAGAATTTCCAAGTGATTAGTGCAAAACTTAATTCCGACGCCATTATTGACGTCATATTGGAAAATATTTAAACTGATAATTCGCATTTCTCCTCCTTGTACGATAATTCAATGCAACATGCACTGTTGTATCTGCTCTATCTACCAGAAATTTCAAACAATTACTCATTCGCCTTTTTGTCTCAATAACGGAGCTCGCGAACTTAGTCGCGTATAATCTTTCAGGCAATTACAACATTATGAATCATTTAAGCTTTCTTCGTTTCGTTGAAATTATAAGTTAATGTTTAAATCTACTTCAAATATTCTGATCTACGTTCAATTTATCTCAAATGTTTGGAATTAAATTGGAAAATATTTAAATTTAATTAATCAAAATATATCAGCAGAAAGGTTAGGATAGTAACTGTGTTTTGCCTTACAGAGCTTTTTCACAAAATATACATATGTGTAAATAAAACTAAACATGAATTCGAAAGCCATTGAAAAGGAAGATATAGATACAAATTATATCTAACACTTTATAAAATGTTTTAAACTAGACACTAAGAAAACCAATTACGCAATATTCTTAATAAGAACTAATAATTTAAACATTGCTTTTATATGTTTGACATATGATGGTAATTATTTTGAACTCTAGAAAATAATTTCTAACCTAACCTAACCTTTCATATTATAAAGCTAAAAATTCCTAAATATCGAATTTCGGTCGCAATTACATTTTTGAATCCTGTAATGACCACAAATGTTGCAAATAATGTGAAAATGAAGATAAACCAGCTAAAACTAGAACAATTTGTACTGTTACTCTCAAGGAGGCCAGTAAATGAATTAGAAACAGTACGTCACTTTCTCGTGCAAACTGGGAAATTAATAAACATCCTTCGTAACATTGATATTCATTTCCCGCTTTAAAAAGAGAACGTATGTTTATAGTTGCTAACAAATAATTAAATAATAAATCGCACAGTGCATAAAAACGGTAAACGTGATTATTAAAAAGGAAAAAGCGTTAACTTCGCGGAGCAGCCATTCAGAGTCGCAAGGTTAACCGTAAGTGGAACACGAGCAGAGAAGAGAAAGTAAATCTCTGCGTTACCGGCCGGGATTCAGGCATGAGCGTGCGGGAAAAACTCGTCCTTGAGCTCATATTTCCCAGTACCGATAGATCGCGCTCGTAATCGGAATGAATTTAAGCGCACGGGCACAACGTGCCGTGGCCTCGAAAAGTCGGTGACTCGGCGGCTGAGTCCGACAAACGGTTTGCGACGTTGCCGCTAGCCTCTGCTTTAAAGCGTATATATTTCTCCCGTCCCATCACACGTCGCACGCGATAAATTCTTCCTCGGTCGTTTTCAGAACCATCACCGATATTTGTCTCTAATCAAAGAGCATCGTTGTTTAACAATTGGAAACGATTGAAAAGTACGAAGGATACACGAGGGTAAGGGCTAGGAAATGATAGGGATTGAAACTTATCAATCTCCATCGTAACTAAGTTACTGAATAGGCATTTCCTGTACATTTCTTTCAATGTTATACTGTGAAATTTTCTGAGAAACGCAAAAGTGAAAATGTAGAGAGGAGAAAGGCTTTTGTTGTAAATTTACAATTGATTCTACCTCGGTCAAGTCGGTGGACACAGGATGCGCGTAGCTCTACTGCGCAGATGACGTCACAGAAACTCTTGCTCCGGTAGCTCGGGTTATAACGCCGTTTGGAAGGTTTCCTATTGGCCTCGGTGACGTCATTCAAGGTCACGTGACAAACTCAAGAAGTACTTTTTTAACGATTCTTCGTATATCTATAGAATTCGTTTGCGAGGGCAACAAGCTGAGCGCGGTGCGAAAAGAGATCGTTTCCCGCCGAGGGTCGTGAATATGCTTTCTAAAACGTAACCGCAATGTGTCTCGGGGACGAAGAGAAGATGAACAAGCGAAATATCGCGACCCTGGTGTGAAGAATCGACATGTGCTCGTTCGTGAACCGCAGAACTAAAGTACAGAGGAACAGACGGGAAGTCCAAGCCCC